GAAGAAAGAAACCCGGCCTCACGAACTAGCCAAACTCGTGCGCGGACAGATAAGGCTGTTTTCTAATCCAGTTCCCCGGAGAGCCATTTATTTCGGTGAGGCCAGTGTGCACAGCAGAAACTATAGAAGCCATCAAGATAACACGAATACCAACCAACCCAGTGGACTTTTGAAGTGTAAACATAAAAGTCTATTAAGAATACAATGTTGGTTTAATCCCAAGACAAAAAAATCGACTTAATGAAAAGCACAACTCATCTCAAGAAGGAAATATCGATACCAGCTGTGAGCAGAAAATGAGGGGATTCCTTCCAGGGAACATTTGAATTTCAACCCACTGCCTTTCCAATATTTTCTCTGGACATAAAGTCTCCAATACTTTTCCGAGGATCTCATTTTTCTACAGGAGGAGGAGGTCAGAGAGAAGTCTGGGCGGGGCCAAAGGAGAGTGTGGCAGAGTCTGGAGATGCAGAGACCCGCCCCACGAGGATACCCTGACCCAGAGCTGTCTCCCTGCCCACCCGGCACTGAGGGCCCAGCAAGACCCTCCCTCCAGCTCTAGCGGCCCACAGAGATGGATGACAGGCCTGTGCTGCTGACACACAGGCGCTGCACCGACCAGCACCGCGCGGGGGACCAGGATATGCCACTACACTCCTCTCTTAGCAGCACTTCTTAGCCACTGCCTCGATTTTTTTTTTTTTCCAATATGTCCCGGAGAAGCAAAGGGAATCCGAACATGAGGGAGGAAGGAGAAGGCCTTATTAAAGAGGATTTTCTGATTATGGGCTCTGTTCCAGCATCTTTGAGAGAGATCACGGCCCCTGGCATCAAGACAGACGTGGCCATCGGCAACACCTGTGGACGCTGAACACCCACAAGGAAGTATTTAAACCCTCTTCACTCACATTCCTCACTCCAGAGCCCGCTCGGCCTGATGGCTAAAATAAAGGACAGCTTCTTATATATAATTTCCTACTAAGCATGAATAAACACCATAAATATAATGATAACATTACATAATATAACACGGGAACCGCGTGCAGTTCTAGCCAGAAAAGTTGTGCCAACTTTTCTCCTGTATGTGGATGTGTGCCTGCCATTGCCCCACCATCCCATCACCCATTCTATGGGGAGGCAGCACCGAGGGTGCTTTAAAAGCATAAATATCAGACTGGAGTTTCACCTCCACCACCTACTGGGTATATGTAGTACTAACACCTGGTAGTCTTTGGGGAAACCGTTTAATGTCTCTTGGTTGTGGTTTCCTCATCTGTGAAATGAAAACAATTAATAGTGCCTTTTATTAGCATAGTCACAATGATAAAATGATTCAATTAATGAGTGCCGGGCAAAAAAAAATAAGCCCTCAAGAGTTAATCATCACAATGACAGTAATTATAATAACTACTCTGACTAAGAAACCATTCACTGATCTACAGCTCTGTGCCAGAGTCTGGACCAGGCAGCAAATAACGTTAGCCTTCTGGTTTTGCAAGCGTCTTTAGCGGGGCATTGGATTTCTCACGGCAACGCCACCAAGACAGCCCTCCCGCTCGTGCGGAGGATGATGGTAGGCCCAAACACTGGAGCCATTTACGGCATGAAAAACTCCCTCCCAAAACCATGTTTAAACAATTATAAGCATTATGTTGCAGGTACCCATGACCAGCGGAGGCCAGCCCAGCACGGTGCTCATCTTGCAAAGATGTCTTTTGTGTGGGTTTTGGGTTTCAGCTGGGCGATGCAAAACCAGAGAGTGAGTCGAAAAACGAGTTTTCACAAGCTCACCCTGTCACAGGCCAGGCAGGGGTTCCTGCTGACATCCCCACAGCAAGATTAAACAGCATGCTTAGTCAGGCACTAAATACTAACACAGCTCCGACGTCAGGGGGACACTGATTAAAACTGATGTCAATAATTTATGAAACACAATATGGTCTTCAGATGCTCTTTTGAAAAAAAAAATAGGAGTGGGGGGAAAAAGGGCCTAGCAACCCAGGTGGTTTAAAACTGTTCATGCATTTTCCCTTGAATGTACACCGCCACCCCCCCACCATGCATGGATGTTTCTTTACACCATGAATGTAAATGCACATGTGTATAAAAGCATGTGAACACTGCTGATACATATGGGCGGAAGAAAGTCTTTAGTTATTCCACTGAGAGCTGTCGAGGCTGTAACGTTATACATAGTCTTGTCTTTCATATTGTTTCTAGGGTGTGTGTTTTTCCGGAAGTAACCCGAAATGGCATTCAAAATAAAATTGAGTTTTACAAAAGTTCACCTTTATTCCATAGAGAACTCAACCTTGAAACAATGTGGCAAAGACAGAATAGCACGGGGACAATGCTTCGTGTTTATCAAGACTGATTTGGGGAATGAAAAATAGATATACTTCTTCAATTTGCCTTAGTTGTAAATAATCTGGGAGCTTGAATTTAGGTCAACAGTGTGAAATTCACAAGATGGGATTATGTTGGAGAGAGAGAGAAAAAAAAAGAATCTGAGCCGCTGATAGTACAAAAGTTAGTGTTTGAAGGATTTATTAAGGCTTTTTCCTAGCACAGTGCCCTGTAGTGTCTCAGATCACCTGTCAAATACTAATTCATTCACATCTCTCCACTACGGGGCCTTTTCATAAAAAGCTCGACCTTTAATTGTAAATCACTTTTAAATTGTCTTTGCTGGCTTTCTCTTTCACAGAAGGATGGAAAAATCACTAAGACTTCAATTAAGACTTTATGGGAACTTCAACCTGACTTTCCTGTCTGTATCTACAAGATATCAGAATAGCTATTCAAAAAGGAAACCATAAGTAACTTTAAGATAGTTGAATAGGCTTTGCTTTTATAAGGTAACTGAACAACTGGCAAAATTTAAAGATACGTTAACTACTGAGAATTAAAATAACTTCAGTAAAAAAAAAACAGAAAATATTGTTAGCTGATTATTTGTCATGTAGATCAGGTGCTTATTAGGCCTAATTAAACTTTTTGAGCAAAAAGGCTTACTAATTACATTAGTTAATATGTTGATTGCTCCATTTGGCTTAAAAAAACTGTCAATCCAATTTGTGCATAGTTAGTGCTGTAGTCAAAAGACAAAATCCTAAACTACAGAGGTTATTTCAAGTGCAGGACTATTGTTACAGCAAATGTGGGTTATGTCTCCACATCCCAAGTGACACGGAGAGGGGGGGTGGCTGATGAATCTGAACAAATCTACACCGAGAACAAATCTTCAAACCAGTCAAATGTTACCACAACATCCAGCTTATTTGCCTCAATGCATTCACTTGCATTTGTCCAATTAGACCCCGCTGGTGACAATTCAAAGGTATCTTTCATATGCACATACAAACTAAAACTGATAGCAAAACCCTGGGAGGCCCTTGGAATGTCAATACAGGGCTTTTCCGCACAAAAGGAAGAAAAGAAAAGAGGGAAGGGGAAGAGGGGGGAAGAGATGGGAAAAACCAATATTTCTGAAGAACTTGAGCAGATCAAAGGAATTTCATTCTCAAAGACCAGGAATGCCCGGGTATAAGTATCTCCTCACTGCAGAATCCTGAAAAGACTCTTCAAACCGGCAACCGGTTCCATCTCTTAAAGGAGAGGGGAGAACAATTAGGTCTGCAAAACCCGACACAGTGAGTGCAAAGATGGAGGGCCCGCCATGCAACAGGAGGCCCAGCCCTTGCAGACCAGGAGGCCTTCCTGGGCCTCCGTGCCCACCCACCCGGCGCTCCGAGACATGTTTTCCACTGGACTGCTCCAAAGGCTGCATCTGCAGTCATGAGGCACAAACTATTCGACAACAACATGACACAATTAATCAGAACCAGACCTCAAAACGTGTGTGCGTGGGGACCGGCGAACTCCGCAATGTGCTTCAGAGGGCGAAGCAACTGAAGAGACTCACACTGGCTGTTTGGGGGTGGGGGCGAGGGGGGGGAGCGAAGGAAAAATCTATACGTTCACAAAAGATGCAGACCAAATGGCACTTTACAAACTAAATAATTTTCCTCAAAATGAAATGAAATTTACATCTCATACTGGAAGAGTAATGTCTTACTACCTGCCCCCTCCTCCCACCGCCCCCAGAAACTGGACCCTGAGTTTCTATAGCAGCAAAGTTGCACAATTCAGAAATAGAATGTATCCCCCTTCCCCCCTTAGTCTCATTTCTAACAAAATCTATTCGCCAGTGCCGGTTTTGTCAGTTTTCCCTTTCAGGAACAGAAACCCCACTAAAAAGTGCGAATCTGGATCCTTAATTAATTCAAAACTATTTAATTTCACCCAACCCTGACACTAACAAATCTGTTATGCTCATTTTTTGAACCCAGAATTGAATTGGTTTAAAATAATTAATGAACTCTCCTTTGTAATCTGTAGATAGTAATTAATTTAAATCGCATCATTATTTTGCTAACACAAACACGCTGTCCAAAAGGAAAAAAAAAAATCAAACTATAAAAGATAAATGGAGGGCGCAGGAATGATATTCGTCGGGTACTGAACTGGCCCCAAACTGCAAATCCCTTTGCCAAGGGGTGTATGGTTGTGGGGCTGGAACACCCAGGGAACCCCGCCGGGCTCCCCCATTGCGCCCAGTTTCAGCCCTAAGGGGGATCCTGCCAAGCCGAGCGTAAGACAACGTTTGTTTGCATGTGGATCCCAGGTTAGAGGGACCAGTCGGCAAATTTTCTGCAAAACCCTCTCTCCCCCCGCAACATTTCTCGTGCTTCTTGGCTTGCAGAGGGCACTGGTCGCAAAGCCGAGAGTCCACGGCCAGCGCCATGGGAGCGCGTGGTCCTGAGGTCCGCCCTCCCGGGTCCACTACCTCCCGGAACGCACCTCCCACCGTTCCCGCGGCACGACCGCAGCGGATGATCCTCGGTGCAGCCGCGGCCGGCGCTCCAGGGTGCGAGGCCCCCAGAACAGCCGCCCGCGTCCCCGCCCGCCGCCCGCACCCTCCGCGGCGCTCCACTCACCCACGCACTCGTTGGCCTCGCGGGCGGTGGCGCGTTGCCAGGGCCGATCGTAGTGGAAGGGCTTGCAGCGGTCGCACTCGGGACCCGCCGTGTTGTGCCTGCAGTCGCACACCAGGCTGTCGTCGCGGTCGCGCACGCAGCGGGCCGCGTGGCCGTTGCACTTGCAGCGGCCGCCCACCTGCAGGTCGGACACTGCATAGAAGTAGGAGTCCCGCGCCAGCTCCGAGTCGTCCTCGTTCTCGTCGCCGAACGTGTGCAAGCGGCTAAAAGCCACTCGGATGTCGGTGGCCGTGACCCAGTCCTGCAGCACCGGCGAGTTGTCGAAGTCGTGCGCCGAGGGCCGCCCGTCCAGCGTGCTGAAGGCGATGAGGCCGCCGGAGAGCGGGCGCATGTCCGTGTGCGAGTCCGTGCAGACGGCCTCCTGCTCGTTCTGCTTGGTGATGGGCGCGCGGTGCGGCCGGTTGTACATCTTGCGGCACTGCGTGGAGTAGTACTGGAAGGGCACCCACGTGCGCCCGTAGTCCATGGACTTGTAGATGGCCATGGACTCGGGCCGTGGCGAGCAGAACTGGAGGCTCACGTAAGTCACCTCGAACTTCTTGCCCAGCGACAGCGTGAGCGTGACGTTGTGCGGGAACTGCAGGTAGTTCTCGGACTGCCAGCACGTCAGGTTGTGCGGGTTGTTGAGGTCGGTGAGGAAGGCGGGCGGGTGCGCCTTCTTGGGATCGGACGCGTTGCAGAGGTGGCAGGAGCGCAGCCGCTCTTCGCCGCGCTCGCTCACCACGCACAGTGCGCCTGGGGCCGGCCGCATGAGCTAACGCCCGCGCGGCTTGCCGAAAATCTGATAAGAAAATCCAGACCCTCCGGCCCCAGGGAGTTTTTCTGGTGATAGGGGAAAGGTGTGGGTTTGTCGAGGACCCAAGGGAAGGGGCACAAAAATAACGCACAAAAACAACTCAACAACTTTGTGAATTTTTTAAATTTAATTGCATGAGGTGAAGTTCCCAAGAAAAGAAAGCAGTTTTATTTTTTATTTTATTTATAGGGT